GGCGTACCCCAGACGTTAGGCTGCCGCTCGATGGTTCTGCTGCTGAAGGCTCGCGCCCTAGACACAGGCGTTCTTGGCAGAGGCATCTTAGAGTTACCAGAGCTCCACAGTAACCAATATCCGCGTTTTGTGCGTTGCGACGTGAGGTTTGGATAATATGTTGACGGGGAGGCCGACAAGTGTAAATCCAGTGACGACACGCCACACACACGCGCTGCTCTGTTAGTGTAACGCTTGCCCCTGTGGCGTGGTGGTAGATCAGGCCGTGATCGTCCCACACGGGCGTGTACCTCGACTGCCAGGCGCGTTTCGTTATGACCAACCAACGACAAACAGAGCAGCAACACGGATATAAGCGGTACTTGGCTATGTAGAATAGCCTCTTTACTTGACAACCTCAGCAATCACAATACAACAGTCATCATACATGATAGTTCAATGGTCTTACGCTATACGAAGCTCGTGGTGCCGGTGGTTCTGGGCGTCTTGACTCTTCCTCCCTCTTTGGCTGACTATCGCTGACTCTGGCGGGAGTGCAGCGGCAGGTGACTCTGACAGTGACTCAGTCGCTAAGTCGAGTGCTTGACAACTGTCATATGTCACCTTATATACCCGTTAGCCGTGGTATATCACGTGGCATAGAGAGCACACAAAACGTGCACGTGCTCACGACGACGAAAGCTCATGGATGACTTGGTGAATCAAGGAGGATTCGATGAAGCTGAAGCTGCATCTCCACGTCAGCAATGATGCCTACTGACGTGCCGAGGTTGCGTCAAGCTTTACGCGCACACAGTAGTATATCGTATATGTATAATTACATCCCCCAAAATATATCAAGAAGCCAAAATTGTTACAGTAGACACTGGTGACAGAAATAACCGTGTCAGGGCCGTAGCTAAGTCATATTCAATGGGGAAGGTGGTAAATGCATATGCAATTAGTATTCCGGTTTTTTGCCTAGCCCGGGATTGCTGACGATTTTGATCCTGCCCGCCGGGTGTAACTACGTGGTTGTCTGCGGTCGTTATTCGAAATCGGTAATTGATCAAAAAAGGGTACCGCGAGCACGTATTATCGGATATGTGAATCTATTACACCAAAGGCGCAGCTTTCTTTTCCTCTGCTCGTCCTATAGGGGGCATACAACAGTAACCTTTCTCAAATTTGTCACCAATGTTGCACTATCTCTGGAAATAGCCTTCTTTTGATTTTGGGGGGGATAAAAATCGGCAGTAGAATGCACTAATTTGCATCATGCACGCAACATAGATGATTCAGGGATGTGTTGGCAGCGGAATTAAGACCCAGCAATGTCAAGATCACGCTGCGCAGACGTGGCAACGGTGCGAATGCCCCGTTTACATTTGGTGTCACATTTTTTGAGACATATATATGCGCTTCAGAGACAGAATACTTGACATGACACTTGTCCCAACCTAGAAGTGAACGCTACTTAAACTATAACGTGGGCATATCTCTCGGGGTTCCCTATCGCGCTCGCCTTCCTAAATAGCTCCCGCCATATTGCTTTCTCTCTCGCTCTCCTTCTTCCTCTCCTTTCTTTCTCCCTTGCTACGTGAGCTTTTCCAACAATAAGGTACGTATATCTCTGGCATGCTATGTATGTGGGCTCTGCACAATCTTACCGCGGCTATGTGAGATAGAGTTCATCGCGTATTTATCCTCCCCACGAAGTGTAGCGGAGGGTATTATTTTTGGCTCGTTTGTATGTGTGCATAGAATTCATTGCGTATTTGTTGGTAAGCGCACATTCCACATCTGTCATTGACACACCTGCGCTGACATTGAAAGCACAATCATGACGTTAGTTTATTAATTCGACAGCTATCGTTTCTGAGATGCTAAATACTTTCAGACGGTTATGTTTCGAATGGAACGATATTTGTCTACGCGACCAAGGGCAGTAATAGCACCCTGTATCCGCGTGGTACCAAATGCAACGTGTGCACGAGAATATAAGATGGGAAAATCTGCATCATATTTATTCTTTTATTCTTTGTTTAACTCACAAACATACATTTATTATTCGCGCGATGACGAATCCCTTATGTAACGCCACGAGCACAATATATAAAGTGCACTAACGCTCGCAAAATTCAACAAACAACACAAAACACAAACCGGAATCTTGCTCTTTTACTCGCTGGCTGCAGTATCATGCTACAGGCAGAACGAAGGACTATAGTTCTAGAGCTGCATACCTGCCTGCTCACACTGCATCTATATATATGAACACTGCGTGCCCATTTATTTATTCACTTATTCATCAATCCATCCATCCATCCATCCATCCATCCATCCGGATGGATTGGGGATGGATTCCGAGCATGGGATGGATCGATGGATGAATGGACTGACGGACGGACGGACGAACGGATCGATGGATGGACGGACGCGATGCGATGGATGGCATGGATGCGATGGAAGATGGATGGATGGGATGGATGATGGATGGATATGGATGATGGATGGATAGATGGATGGATCGCGATAGATGGCGATGGATGCGATA